TGCTGAAAAATGATCAGGCAGAATAGTGGATATTCTTCATCTGGATTGGTTTTCTGAGGTGGTACCCAAGAGCAGCAGTGGTGTCAGAGTGATGCTGCCTCTGGAAGGAGGATAGGACGGTTTCTATTGACTACCTTTAATATAAAATAATCAAGGAACTAGAGCATTATTCAGTGAAAGGGTTTTTTGTGTCCTGCTTTGATGAAGGAAAGGCTGCTGTTCAAGATGGTTATTAGTCTGCTTTGGTGCCCAGAAAGCTGATCCTAAATTACACTTGCTCTGCTCAGATTGTGGTAGTTCTCAGTCTCTTGATAATTTTTGCTCTGTTTTTTTTTCATATGTAGCTTCTTCCAGTTTGCGATACCTGGGAAGACACTGTTTGGGCATATTTCAGGGTCATGGTGGACACTCTTGTTGAGCAGGAAATACGAGCCTCAGTAATAACTGCAGAGGAGGTGGAAGAGCTCCCTAGAGATTATTTAGAAACAAAGTAAGTTTTAAGTAAAATTATGGCCCTATGCTCAGTCAAAGAATCCAGTATGATCTGTTTAGAATATTCAAGGTAACATTTTTTGCCTTTTCTCTCCTACTTTGAAGCTGGACTTCAGAAAAAGTTTTTGAAGAACTTCAGGCAACAGACAAAAAGGTACATATTAATTACAATGTTTCTCCTCACTGTTTACCATTTTTAATTATTCACTAGGTTCTACTTCTACTACGCTGTTTTAAGAAAATGCTCAAATAGGCCCAGTGACTGATTTTTTTAGGTGTTCTACCTCTGTAATCTGTACTTTCTGAATTCAGACAGGTTTTTCTATATGCTGCCGCTTTTTAATGATGAAAAAGATACAGATTTTGTCTTGCCCCATGTCTTTGCCAAGCTAGCTGGGTGTGTTAAAGAATAGCTGACTGTCAAGTGTTGTCAGACATAGAAAGCAGACAGAGTAAATCACCTATTTAACACTTTGATAAAATGTGCAAATATTGATTACATGCTGTTTTCTTTATAGGAGGTTTCAGTTTTCTTTATAGGAGGTTTGTGTGCATATTTTAAAACAAGCCTTTCAAAATTTAAAAGCATATTTGCTTGAACAGGCTGTGTTTCTTCGTTACTTTTAACACCCAGGATACTTATTTCATTTAAGATGGAATATATAACTTATATGTTAATTTTGTAACGATTAAATTGAAACTACGCTTACTTTTATTTGATGGGAATAGTAGCATTTATCATATTGCTAAGACAAAGACATGTTGAAAGACAGCTTACGGATCAATGCAGTCAGCCACAGATACACCCAGCTACTTTTCTAGAGCAATCCTCACCATACGGCAACTTTACAGGTATATTTGAACTGTATTTCATAGAATCATTTAGGATGGAAAAGACCCTTAAGATCATCAAGTCCAACCATTAACCTAGCACTGCCAAGTCCACCACTAAACCATGTCCCTAAGCCCCATGTCTACACGTCTTTTAAATACCTCCAGGGATGGTGACTCCACCACTTCCCTGGGCAGCCTGTCCCAGTGCTTGACAACACTTCCGGTGAATAAATTTTTCCTAATATCCAATCTAAACCTCCCCTGGCACAACTTGAGGCCGTTTCTTCTTGTCTTATTGCTTGTTACTTGGCAGAAGAGACCCACACCCACCTTGCTACAACCTCCTTTCAGGTAGTAGAGAGTGATAAGGTCTCCCGAGTCTCCTTTACTCCAGGCTGAACAACCCCAGTTCCCTCAGCCGCTCCTCATAAGACTCATAATTTCATGCATTAATTCCTCTACCAAAAAAAAATCTCTTCCTCCTCAAGTAAGTTTCGCATACTTTTTCTTTAAGGCTTTATACACATTGTTGCTTCTTCTGTGACTTTGTAGAATCTATTCTCTGTAACATTGTTATTTATTCTCCTCTTCAGAGTAAAAAGCCCTCAGTCTTGGGTCTCTTCCATGAAAGTATTAACTCCACAGATCTATATTCTGGTTCTTTCTTTCAGTTTGTCAATATTCTTGTAATTTGATGTTGAGATAGCAAACGCCTTTTCTCCTGCTCTTTATGCAGAATACCCTTTGAAAAAAAAAAACACTTCTTTTTTCTTTTTAAGTTTGCTTTCTTTATACATTAAGCTATAAGATTTTATTCAAAGTTTAAACTTTCTTTTTCTCTCCCCAGAGGGTTATAGAGGAGAATCAAGAACACTATCACGTGATTCAGAAATTCATTATACTGGGAGATGTAGATGGTGAGCTTTTCTCCAAGTGATTTTTAAATGTCAACTATGTTATTTCTAGTGACCTTTCCAGAAACTTGTATGTGAATGGATTTTAGAAGCACACAAGTAGGCAAACTCCACCTTAAAGCTAAGCTGCTGCTTTAATGAAGAACTGTAGGGACTTTTTGCAGTTTGACATACAAGGTAGTTTTCAAAAAAATCATGTGAATGTGTCACAATATGTGTAAGAATATTGCTATAACTTTTGCTGCGAAATTACAAAATGCATACAGCAGATATTTAAGCCAAAAAGCTAAATCTCTCCAAAACTGTTGCTGTTCTGTTTTGTTGGGCTTTTGAGGTTAAATTAGATTTGTTGAATAAACACATAATTTTGATATATTTCTTAAGTGTTTTTTTTTCCCCGTGATGTGGCTAATACCAACATTTCCTTGGTGGCTATAGGTTTGATGGAAGAATTCAGCAGGTGGCTTTCCAAAGAGAGAAGTGTGCTCCCAGGGCACCTCCTTCGTTTCATGACACATCTTATTCTGTTTTTCCGCACTTTGGGTCTGCAGACTAAAGTAAGTTCACTTGTATTTGGTTTGCTGTCATAGCAATAGTTAGTCTTTGAAGTAGAAATGCTTGTGTGTAAATACATAAACTACATACAATGATGGTAAATTACTACCAGGCTAATGAGGAGCTGCATGCTTAAGTAGTATATTTGTTGATCTTAGAGCTTAAATGCAACAGTCAGAATTAGAAAAGAGCATCTTCCTCCCCTCCAGTTCAGCTTGAAAAATATTTTTTTAGGATGATGGATTCTACTCATAAGCCCTTTATTGAGAAGGACCTGACTCAAACTTCAATATTAGGCTTATTCATAGTAGCAAAGATGCTTTGAATATAACCTGATCTTATACACAGTCCTTGGAATTGTACCTGTTGCTGTAAACTCATAAATATTTTTGCTTGAGGTAATTAGTACTAGCTGAAACTTTCATATTTTCTCAAAATATATACTAAGTGTAGCCTACTAGCTACCTAGCCTATTTATGCTAAATATACAGATGGGTCACACAGCTGCAATTACTCTTTTCTGAGGCAATCACAAGTAATTCGAAGCTCTCCTTTTCTATTACTTTAAAATGTGGAAACATTTATGTTTCAAATAAGTTTCTGAATGTAACATATTTCGGCAGAAGACCAATGTGTGTTTTTATTAGATGATTTAAATACAGCTCTGAGTTATTATGTTTTTTCATGCCTGTAATCATTGCTTCATTCTCTTGTTGAAATTTATTTTGAAGTCAGTTAACATTTAGCTAATTAAGAGGAACCTCTGTGTGTGTGTATATGTACATATTTTTTAGCTAGACTCAAAATTTAATAGGTCTTTAGGCTAAAGTATCGTAGAACTAGTCATTAGCATATGTTTAACAGAGGGGACAAAAAAGGTGCAATTTCCTACATAAATTCTATTGTGGGATTGTGAGTAACTGTTGATGACTGCCTCTACGATTTTGGAATAGGTGGATTTACTGGAAGATTACTTGATGAACCCTCAATAGACAGAGGGAAGAGGAAGTTATGCAAAGCTTTTATGATGTTCCTTATTTGATGTTTGGGTACAATTCATATAGGTATATGCTTAGATGAAGATCTCTAATTTCATCTACACATATAAAACTAAAATGATAGTTCTTCACAGTAACAAACACTTGAGTCTTAGCTAAAGCAGTCTCAGGTGCTTGGACTATGCTTTGGCTGGTTAATATAGGTTATTACAGATGAGCTAGATGATATTTATACCCTGTACATAGGAACATTAGAATTACCTATAATACAACAATGCATGTTGCACTGCAATAGTCATCTGTTCACCTGACGTTTTACTTCTAATAAAAAAAAAGACGGTAAAATGGAAAGATTTGAAAAACAATTTCAAAAGTAACTTTCCAGTTAGACCAAAAACTATATTACCCAGTTGCTGAAAAAGAAAATCCTTGGAACACTAAATCTTTGAATCAGAATACATATTTTTTGTAATCATTCTCTGAGAGAAACAGTTCTTCCAGCTGAGCCTGTTGGAGTGTGTAGATTACTGAAGCAAGGATAAGCAAATAACCTTGTGTCTGTGTAATGGTAGTAGCCTGTAAAGTATCTTCCTTTTTTTTTTTTTGCCACAATTTCTAATTTACAATTGAATTTATATTTGTTTGCAATAAGGAGGAAGTTTCTGTTGAAGTCCTAAAGACCTACATTCAGGTAAGCTTTCAAAAATATATTTCTCTGCTGTAATTTAGATGTAAAGGAGGAAGAAAAGGAGACTTAAAGTTACAGGATGGAAAGAGCTATGATGCAGTTAATGCACCCTTCTCAAGAGATACATGGAAGCTTGCCTAATATGCAGAGTTTCTGTCAGCAGTGCTTAAATAAGAGGCAGTTTTACTGATCATTGTTTAGAAGCTCAGAAGTGGAATCTTCCTAAATCAGAAATTTATTACACATTTATGTTTTTATATTAAGTGTAAACACACGTGTTTACACAGAGGAGTATCGTATGTTTTTCTAAATATTTGCTTCTTATTCTGCAGCGGATGATATCTGAGAAGCACACAGATTTAATAGCATTTTATGTTAGCCACTTGCCCCCAGAGCTAGCTGTTGCTCAGTATGCTTTATTTCTCGAAGATGTTACTGAAAGTGAACAACGCCACCACTGCCTTGAATTAGCAAAAGATGCAGGTGAGAGATGCTGATATTCGAATTATTATTTTATATCCTGGGTTATTTTGTCTTTCAGTATTTTTTAATGCAAGACCTAGCTATGCAGATGATACTGTTTCTTTCCCGTGTCTCTTCATTTTTCAGTTAAATAAAACTAATTTGCTGATCACTTCTTCAAGTAGGTATGTTGTGGTTTTTCAACTAACCTGGAATTGCAATTCTTTTTCTGAATTAAATAAGTATCACTTTTGCTTCTGAATTGTGTCCAAACACAGCAGGAAGTAGATGCCAGCTGCCTGTCTCAAATATATGCTCTGAAGCTTGACATGGTTGTATTATTTCAGGAAACTAATTATAAAAATACATACCTGTTTGTGGATCTAGGAAGGTTATGAATATCTTAAGTTTTTGTCCTATTTATAGTGCTCTTTCTTAGCTGTGATGAGTTGCTGGCATTAATGGTAAGCTTCCTTCCAGGCCTATGCATCAAAAAAAAGGGACTACAGTGAAGCAGTACACTGTCCATTTTTTGACAATGCCTCTGTGCCACCCAGAATTCATGAAGAAATAGATTTATTGCAGAATTCAGTGTCTAACTTTTCTTCAATCATTTTTTAGAAATTTTCTTTTAAAAACTTGGCTAAGGTTTCAAAAATAAAAATAAAACATCCTGCTTCAGCATCTGTAAAAGAACTGTTCTGAGCTTTTCCTGGTACATTCCTGTCAAATCATAGTCTTGCTGTCAGAATTGTAGGAATCAGTGGTCTTAGCAAATATATCTATATGCTGGTCCCCAGCACAGACTGAAAAACTCGTTAGCTGTCATTCTTTTTCCCATGTTTGATGTTCTCTGTTCTCTCAAAATACCATTCTTCTAAAATACCTGCAATAAATCGTGTATCTCAGAAGCTTATAATTTACTCTGACAATGTGAATTTATAATTTAGCCTGAGTGTGAACAGCCTGATAAGAATTACTAGTAGTCAGGAATAGATTAACAACTGGAATCTGAAATTCATTTAGTGGCAAGTTTGAATTCATGATCGCTGTTACATGGTTCTTTCTTAACCTAGGCCTGGATGTGGCAACCATAACAAAAACTGTTGTTGAGAACATCCGCAAGAAGGATGCTGGTGAATTCAGTCACCATGACCATATGTTAGATACAGGCACGACGGAGGTGAGTGTACTTTGTAGGACAGATACTCGAGTTTGCAATCAACTATGGAGTCTTTTAGCATATATCATCCATATTTCTCTTTCAACAATGATGGAGATTGCCTTCAAAAAGCCTGTGAGGGAAATGCCCTTTCCATGTGATCAAGTGAGGAGTTGAATTGCATGAATTCATAACTTCTGTTTCTGCATCTCCTTGCCCTTCTGGGCTGTAGTGTGTGTTGCTCAGCAGCATGTCTGTATGCAAACAAGTAAAGATAAAGCCCATCAAATGACTATAACAAAATATGTTGCAGCTGAGAGTAGGATATTATTGTAGCTTCTAGGAATTATGAGGATTAATACTTTGAGTCTCACATATACCTTTTTACACGCTCATGTGACATATTGTAGCTACAACAGCCATTGTCTTTACTGACAGTTTCCTCCTCATCACTCTTGAGTGTTGGTTGAATCTAACTCAGTACTTTAGTGACAGTGAGGCATTCAAAGTACTGTTCAGAAAGCAACTGTTTGCACTACTTTGCAAACTTGTGGCACTTCTTTTGCTATTCAGCACTAAGTTTAAGTTCTCTAAGCCAAATGGGTAGCTTATGTACTGCAAGAGTTGGAAAACTGTGGTTGCAAGCTGATGGCACCCCTGAAGACTGTAGTGAGGGCTCCATAAACCGTGTTTGTATGGCATATTCATAGTAAAGTTTGAGGAAGATGCATGGTAATCCATAAAAAATTTTGAGATCTGGTGCTCATCCATTGGTCTGAGTATCTTGGAAGTGCTTAGAAATGGATTTTTGAATGATTCTAGGTTGCAGAGATTGTTTTCTAAGCTTTTGATACTAAAGTTGTGAATAAAGCGATCCTTGTTAGTATGTCGTAAAGCTATCCAAGGATCACTAGAAACTTGTGTATTTCATTGATCAGATTTGTTGTGTCCAACATCAGCTGTATGCTGGAAATGTTAATGAACCTATATGTTGGTTTTTACAGGTGGATCAGCTGAAAATAGATGTAATTGACTGGCTCGTATTTGATCCTGCACAGCGGGCAGAAGCACTTAAGCAAAGCAATGCAATCATGAGGAAGTTCTTGGGTACTAAACTTCACAAATATTGTAGACTTTTTAAATACTGGTTTTGTTCTCATTGGCTCTTGGCACTGCATTTGATATAACTTTGAATCTAGTCTATTAAAAAGCATGGCTTTGTCAGTTGATAAAAATAAAGCATGGAAATTACAAAGCTGTTGATACTCAGTTCACATTCTCATAGCATCCAAGAAACATGAAGCTGCAAAAGACGTGTTTGTGAAGATTCCCCAAGACTCTATAGCAGAAATATATAACCAATGGGAAGAACAGGGAATGGATACTCCACTTCCAGCTGAAGATGACAATGCTATAAGGGAACATTTATGTATTCGGGCATATTTGGTGAGTTTCAAATATGCTGTATTCCAAGTTATTACTTAGAAATAATGGTGGCTTTGCCTTGGTGGTGAAACTTTAAGCTTTGTCCATTTGATTTAACTTCTGATTCCTAGATGTACTATAGCTGAGAGTTTACAAAAGAGTGAGGTTCTTTTCATACGCAAAAGTAACATTTGGGTTTTGTGCATTTAATGGCATTCTTGTAGTTACATAAACGAGCCAAAAATGTCAAAACACTGTTTCCAATGCAATCCAGGAAGCCCACGAAACCTTCAATGAATGGTTTAAACACATGAACGCGGCTCCGCAGAAGCCTTCTTTGTTACCGCAAGCAAGTTTCACTGAAAAAGTGGCCCATGAACATAAAGAAAAGAAGTACGAGGTAGGTAAAAGTTCAAGTTGTTATTTACTGTAAACATCTATGTTCTTCCTTAGGAGGCATCCTTAGTTTAATGAAACAGAGTAGAGACCTGCTAATTCATGTTGCTTAAGAACTCAATTATGAATTATTCTATTTTTATGTTGAAAAGAGGCAGTATGAGACAGAATAGTAATGCCACTGCACAATAAATTCTCATGCTTTATTCTTGTATGACTCAGCTTTACATATAATACTGTATACTGTAAGAGTAAATATTTGTTACAATGTATTGGTTGTTATTAATAAATCTGAGTACTCGCTTTTGCTATTAACTCTTCCCTGGAAATGGAGGATGAAGGCTGTCTTGTATTCTTGCATTTGTTACATTTTCTTCTCTAAAAGATGCTGCAGTTCTGTTTGTTTTGCCAAAAGTTCTTTTTGCATGTCTGGCCAGTATGAATACACTGTGTTCAGTTTATGCAAGTATTTGTTATATAAGTATGGCAAAATAAGATGTTTAAAATTATCTTCCTCTAGTGGCTTCGACTGCTTCTGAACAACCTGTCTGACTCTCTGGACAAGGAATTAAGCAAGGATGGAAATAGCTGTTAGCAGCAGGTTTTTAGGTTTTGGCAATTGGCTGAATATTCTCATTTGAATTACAGCTGCACTAGCTGTTGCATGCTAGGTGAAGAGTCTGTGTTAAAACAGCCTTGGAAATGATAATGTTCTGCAGTAGTTTATTTTTTGTTTCTTTGCCAGATGGACTATGGTATTTGGAAAGGCCTCTTGGATGCTCTTACAGCTGATGTGAAAGAGAAAATGTACAACGTGTTGCTGTTTGTTGATGGAGGATGGATGGTTGATGTTAGAGAGGTAAAATTAATTTTTGTATCATGGCGTACACCACAAAGCCAAATTGTACCTGTTCTAGTTTGATGTGCTTCTGTTTACTCTTGTTATGATTTACTCTGGCTTTGCCGTGACCAGTTACAGATTGCTTCCCCTTCAGTTACCATGTAAATCGGATCTGGCAGTCCAGTCTAGGCTGGTTAGTCCAGTTTTTTGTCTCTGACGCTGCTAATTATGTGGTTATGCTGAGTTGCCTTTTAAAGGTAAATGCTCATAATACTAACACATTGTTTCGCTATGCTAAGGATGCTGAGGATGACCCTGAACGAACACAGCAGATGGTTTTGCTGCGAAAGCTGTGTCTGCCAATGATGTGCTTTTTACTGCACACAGTGTTACACAGTACTGGACAGTATCAGGAGTGCCTACGACTGGCTGACATGGTCGCTTCTGAGCGACATAAGCTTTATACGGTGAGTTATTGAGAGCTGCAGACAGCTTAGCTTCCATTTAAAAGATCTGTGGGTTGACTGTGGAAGAAGCTTCTAAATAGAGAGGAAGATGCCATATGTTCCTTAACATCATAAGTTTCTTCCTCTCTTCCCATTCACTGCAGTAGTAAAGAAGTTTCCTTGCATGCTCAATTAAGGAATCAAAGAGTTAACTTTGAAACGCTGAAGATGATGCCAATGTTTTGACAAGTAGTTCTTCTGATTAGTGCAGTTACTAATTTTTGGATGGGGGCTATTGAATTGAAATAAGTTGAACTGTAGAATTGTAACTGATTTTTTATTTCCATTACGTTTCAGAACATTGTATAAGCAGGTTTTGTTTTGGAACACTTGGTTTACCTAACCTTCTCTCCCTCTAAAAGCCTGAAAAACAACACAAAAAAACTTTATCACTTCAAAAAAAAACAAACAAAAAACCCACAACACTCCTCCCCCCCTCTTTAGAAATCTGAAAAGAAACATCAAAGCTAAGAAAAATACTGTGATGCACTCACCTGGATTGGCTTAAGACCTCTCCCAGCAGTAACTGGAAAATTCAATTTGCCTGTTTACCAGTAATCTTTGTAGTATTTATGAGACAAAGCTATCTTAAGACTACCTTCAGGTTTTGGATACTGCTGCTAGCTTCCAGTCCTTTGCTGAATGCCATTCTGAAATGTCTAGTGTTCACACTGTCTTAAATAGAAAGAAGGAAATATTAAAAAAATAGCAACTTAATTAACAACCATTTACTTTGATATCAGTGGTATTCATTGCAAATAAATAACTTAATTACGTCCTTTTTTATTAGGTATTTTCAAAAGAAGAACTCCGAAAGCTTCTACAGAAGCTGAGGGAATCTTCTCTGATGCTTCTGGACCAGGATCTTGATCCTTTGGGATATGAAATTCAGTCATAGGATTTCATGCAGATGCTGGCAAAAACTTCTGAACATGGACATTCTGGTTATAAAAAAAGAACAAAAACTATGACTCAGATAAACTGCTCTGACCTTTGGGGGGGGAAAACTAACCCTCAGATTCCGATTTCAACTTGAAAAATTCTGACCAACTTCAGAGAGGATATTTGTTATACAGCCTTTTTCATAATGTTGTTGGGGTTTTTTTTTCTAATAAAAGTGCATCACAAATAGAAAATGTTCCTTCTCATCTATAATGTCATGTTATAAACATGGTGATTGTATGAACCTACTTCATCTCTTTGCTATGTGCTAGAGCTGCCTGTAGACTGGAAACACCACTTGGCAAGAGATGATGACTGCTCAAGGACAGTGGAGAGGGAAGTGAGGCTGGGGAGAAGGCAGCAGCTGCAGAGAGCTGGAGGAAAGGAAGGAAGAGAGAAAGTGGAAGGGCTACCACCAGCCCTTCGGAAGAGAGAGGGGCTTGTACTGTTCTCACGTACCTTGTGTAGTTGCTAAAATGCCGATGGAACTCTGAACCAGAGGAAAGGTGATCATACCGCAAAACTCCCAAGTTTGAGATGCTGTAATTTATTTATAGAAACTTAGTTCTGGCCTTGTTTACAGGTGTAAACTGCCGTTTAGCTGCTTTTCCCTTAACTGGCGAGCGCAGAGGACGGAGCTGTAGTGCCGTTAGGCAAGGGCTTCAGCTCCTTCAGCCCGTCGGTGCCTTCCGCCACTTGACGAAGGACGTAGCTGGTGCTACGCCTGTATGTACGTGTATTCTGCGTGTGTGTTTATAGAAATACCCGGCCCGGTTGTTAGGAGGTACCTCGGGGAGGGAGGAGGCGTGTTTCTGCCCACCGCGGGGCCGGTGTCGGGGGGGCAGGAGGTGGGGGTACGCCTGCGTGGGGCGTACTCGCGCGGGTGAGGGGGAACGCACGGAGAGGCCCTGCATGTTTGCGTGGGCCGCGTTTTCTGGTGCACCTCCTCCGGCTGCTCCCCGCTCCTGGGGGGCGGCCGGCGGAAGCGTG